TTAATTCAATTATGTAGAAAAGTATTGATGTATAATTTATTAGAAATTAAATTAAATAGGTATAATGAATAAAAAATAGTTACTATTTAGTATTTATAGGCACATTTAAAATTAGACATTTTTATTCAAACAAACTTATAAATTTACCCAATTTCCATAAACATACCGAGCAAAATTATTTATTTCTATAATATACTATAATACCTATACATTTTACTATTTGTTAACTTAAAAGTATTTTCTTTATTTCAAACTAATTTTGTGACATATTGGGTAATATCAAACTATATAGTATATATGCTAAACTATTCTGGTTGTATACTTGTATGTTTCATGTAAACTGTTTCATATAAAATCAACTTCAAACAATAAATTCATAGCTTATTATAGTGTATATTATGCTATACATAGTATAATATTATTATACTATATATAATATATAGTATAATATTATTATACTATATATAATATATATATAGTCTAATAAATAATTATAATTAGGTAAGATATATTTAAGTCTAGTGTGTATATATAGTCTTAGTGATAAAAAAAACTACCTTAAGATAGATCTGATATATAGATACAATGTTATTTTGTTATGTTATTTTATTAGGTCAACAATGGATAAAAATGCTGCCGGAACACCACAACGGTTTGTACCTAGTAAAAGTACACGGTATAGGTTAAGAAAGCAAGCTAAGTTATTACTTTCTTCTTCTCCAAATAACACAGCTATGTCAAATCTATCAAGTAAAAATTATGATACAAATATTGATCCTGTATCAAATATAGAACAAAATAATTCTCTTCATCAAAATATTTGTGAAAATAATTTAATTTTAGATAATCTTAGTGAATCCTCTAAAAGTTTATGTAGCACTTTGTTTAGCTCTGAGATAGATGAAGTTTCTGAACCTGATTCTTATTACAACTTATTAAAAACGGCAACAAGATCTTCTCTATCTCCAACAGTAATAAATGATTCTCTGTATGTGAAAATAAACATGCCGGCATTAGACGAGTTTGATCCTCAACCAGCTGTCTTTAATTGGTTGAACAAAAAGAAAAGGCATTCTAAAATGCATATAAATGCGAAAAAACAGGAATGGTATCAAGGGGTTTTTGATGAAGTCAAAGAAAAATATGATTTAACAAACAATATTGAACTTGGAAAAATACAGTTTTAAACTTTTAAATATAATTTTATGTTCTACTTTTAATTATTTTATCCAGGCGACAGATGTAATATTATGTTGAATTTTCAAATAAAAAATTGTTTTGACATTTTATTTTTAGACAGGGAGAACTCATATTAAATTAAGTGAAATTATAAAATAGTGTAGTACGAAGTTTCATTTATTTTAGGCCCTGGTGGGCTCATAAATCATAATATTTTAAATTATTAAATTACACCACTGTGCAGAGTGAATGGTAATTTATTTTGTATATTAAGGAAAAAAGTCCTTGTGTATTAAAATAACAATAATTTATATTATATTATTATAATAATATGTACAAGAAGTGTGTCGTGTTGTGTCTTCGTCCTACAGGCTATAACGGGATGTGGCCTGTGACTATGGCATAAAAATATCACGACGTAGTTTGAAAAAATTACGACTAAAATTATAACAATAATAGCTACGGCTGTCCGCGGCCTACGAGTCTTCGATTTACGATTATGTGTAATATTATACAATAATTAAAAATTTAGAATAATATAGATGATAGTTTAGTGCAATGATTATGCTTTATAATTTCATTAATATAATCGTGTATAGTTGTATAGGTAATAGTTATAGCTGTGGCGGCGTTAACTCTTTATTTCATGAGGCTCGACCACCAACGCCTAAATTTTATCACACAACCCGTGAGGACTTTGCCCCCACATCCCAATTCACAATTCCACAACAATAATACACTTTATTATGTTAGCATTGGAAAATAATAAAATTACTTATCTGCATCATACATTTTGCTGTTCATGTTCATGTAGGTATCACAAATTTCAAAATTAATTTAGCAATATTATAATAATTTGTTAATGCCGAGGGTAACTCTATTAATAAAGATAAAAAAAAAAATAATTATTTTATTAAACCTTCAAAATTTGAACACTAAATATATTCATCGCTCAGCTCAGAATCAATAACTAAAAAGTATATTAATCTCATACATTTTATTCATTATAATTTTGAATTAAACCTTCACACTGGTACATAAACAATAAATTATAATTACAAATTACAGTTAAATTTAATTTAATACTTTCAAATTGTTATGTACGCACAGTAAATAGTACATTCAAAATTTTTAAATATAAATACGTCTTTATAAACGAGGTCCAGACAACAGCATGTCAATATATTAATTTATAAACTACCAGAAAAGAAATACCTATTTGATTTTAATAACTTTTAGTAATTGAGTTAAATATTGTCGAGCTGTGTGGGCAATGTCAGTGGTTATTTTAACTGGTATATCTACTATACGATATAGATAATTTTTTTCCTATCTTCATATTAGTATGTAGGTATAGGATATAAACTCTAAGCCTAAACATTAATCATAAGTTTCATAACTAATTCGTCACTAAGGGCCCGTATTACAATAGTAGTTTAACCTCTTATGGGAGTTTAAACCTGGGTCAAATGAAAAAGACAAAAAATTACAATCGATTATCAATGGTTTAAACCAAGTTTAAACCACTGATAGCTGAACCACCGATTTCGGCGGTTTAAACTTGGTTCAGAGATCGAACTGCGATTTCATTGGTTGTTCATTAATGTTGATAATGAACTTTGTTATTTTGATAAACCACAACATTTTGATATACTATTACTATTACTGTTCATTTGCAATTTTCATTTTGTGACTTTAAACATTAAAAGACTGCAATAGTTTTCTGCTTTTGTTTTTTGAGTCATTTGTGAATTATGGAAACTTCTGTGGAGAGTAAACGTACGCCCAACTTTACCAAACAAGAGGAAGATGCGTTGCTGCATCTTGTACAAAAGTACAAACATATTTTAGAGTGTAAAACGACCGACAGTATTCAAAACTGGTACCTAATAACAAATTATTATATATTATAATATATAATACTATGATATTTCTTGGTTGTGTTATTTTAATAGAAAAAAAATGGACACATGGGCTACTGTTGAAAAAGAATACAATACAAATTTTGAAGGGATAGTATTCTGAACTGCAACAGTCCTGAAAAACAAGTATTTGAATTTCAAAAAAAAATTTCAAAAGAAAATTGGAGATGAAAGGCAGAGGTCAGAGGTACTGGAGGTGGGCCCTACAATAAAGTTGAATACAATGATAGCGAAAATTTAGTTTTCGAAATATTATAGGCGAAAAAAGACTTGGACGTCAATACTCAATATATGATGATAATAATGGTAAATAATATACTTTATAAACTTAAATTGGTATCTTACATTGTACATGATACATTTTAGAACATGTTGATTTATATTTGAATTTTAGAACAATGCTTTAGTAGAGCCCAGACACCTTTGGATCAAATGAAGATTACTTTACCAGGTGGCAAAATTGTACCAATGGGGGAGGCTGTCACTGAAGATGTTTTAGATGATGCAGAGACTTCAAATATTTATTCTCCCCAAGTTGATATATTTCAAGTTAAATATAGAAGTCTGGATTAATTACAACAAATGTACGAGTTATTATTTTTTTTTGCTTTAGACACTGTATTGGTAAACGACGTTATTTCTCAGAGCATTCAAAGAAATAATGGTAAGTTAAACATTTTTATTTATTATTTAATTATTAATAATCAACTTATGATATACATACTTACATACATAATATTACATAATTCGTTGATACCTACTCGCTGTTAGCAAAGCTTGTGGTGGGAGCAGGGAGTCTATTCCATAATTTATTACAATTTAATACATAATAACAAGTATAGTCTTTATTAATTTTTAACATAATAACTTATCGATAATGACTACCACCACAACAATACAATTCAATATACAATTTATAATAATAATAATAAGGCACTAGTCAAATTAACGCATCTATATATTTTTAATCGCCAATTAAAAATTTTTTATATTGTGAATTTGTTTGATATCAGCTGGGAGTTTTAATTGTATACCTTTATTTATATAACAATTTGTCTATATAAGTGTTGTATTCGGTTTAACTAATCTTAAATTACCACTGCTCTCTCTTCTAATATTATATGTATTATGGTATTCATAATCAGTAGGGCCCGAATTTATATGCAATAAAAATCTATAAAATCGACATTATTATCAAAATTATTCTTGGTGAATTGTAGAAGAAAATGCATTTGCATATAAATCCGGGCCCTAATAACCAGTTTTATTCGTGAACACTTTAATGATTGATTGATAAACAATAAAATCACATTACTTTTAAAATTAATATGTCTTATTATTTTCTTTCTTCGCTGTAGATCAATTAAAAACAACTGTAGAAAAATGGAGTGGAAATACCACACCACTGTTGCGGACAAAACGTAAACCATGGTCCATGTTTAACTAGTCAAAATGATGAAGGCAAGTTAAAAAGAAAACCAAGAGACAAACATAATATTATAATGAATTGAGTAATACTATAGATACCTTAACTGTTTTTATTGTGTGTTTATAGAGCCAATTATACCTTCAGCTAGGAAACAAAAGCTGAATGACCAAATGTCAAAATGGGCATCAGGAAAGCTTGCACTTGCTCAACTCCAAGAAACGCAATATACGCAACAACACCAGTTAAAACTAAAAATTATGAAGGATGAGAGCGATGCAAGGATGGTTAGGGAAGACCGATTGTCTAAACTACAAGAAAAGAAGTCCTGCTAAGAATAGAAATATTGAATCTACAAAAATCAAAATTGGTAGCTGATTTATAAAAAAAAATGTACATATTATGTAAAAATGTAAAAATATACAGTTGTCAAAACTTACAAACATTATTTAAACGTAGTGTATTCTAAAATATTATAATCTTTCAAAATATCGAACAAGTTTATTTCTCTGCAAAGTTCCATGCTCATTGACATTATTGACAGTACCTCTAGTACTGAATGTGGTCAGGTCAATTACTTGTTCTAACTGGCGAGTTACTCTTGGAGTTTGTTCTCCAAAATAGCAAGCAATATTGTGAAATACAGCAGTTGCCACTATAATGCTTTCAACAGACTCCAATTTCATATTAATTCCAACAGCTAATACTGGAAATCTCTTTTTCCAAACGCCATAACTCCTTTCTACAGCATTTCTTGTTCTTATTTGTGCCTCATTGTACGTATTTTGTCCGTCGACAGTAGGATTCAAAAATGTCTTCAAAGCATAACCACTATCACCAACAAGAATACTATCCTTCATTTCTCCTCTTTCAAATTTACTCCGAATACTTAAATAATTGAAAATAGTAGTCATGATTACTTCCTGGAAATGTGGCAACTATATTTTGAATTCTGAGATCTGCATCACAAATAGTCTGGACATTGATAGAGAAATAGCCTATTTCCTATTTCTATAGATTTCTGAATCCAGTCCACCTGGAGATATAATTCTAACATGAGTACAATCAATAGCACCAACACATTTTGGAAACTTAGAAACTTTATAAAACTTCTGTCGTATTGAATCGATTTCTGCAGAAGTTGATGGAAAATTTATAAATGTAGGTCTTAATAATGCCAATTCGTGAGAAACGAGCCGAATGATTTGACTAGCTGTTGATTTGTGAACTCCTACAAAATCACCACATACCGTTAGGAACGATCCTGTAGCATAGTAACGTAATGTAATCAGAAGTTTCTGTTCGGGGGTTACAGCATTGTTCCTGTAAAAAATAACAACATTTAATTATACCAGTTCTATGTTATAATCAACAAATAAAAATACATAAACACTGTACACCAATCATTGTGTACAATGTAAAGTATACTAGTTATATTTCTACACAAATATTATAAAATTATAAGCAATACTCTACCTATTTGTTGGTGATGCTATACGTTCTTTAATGTGATCAAGTATGAAGTAAACAGTATTTTTGGAAAGGCGAAAACAATTAAAAAACTGTTCATCTCTCCACTTCGTGAAATGGTTGGGCAGCTCCAGAAACATCTTTCTCTTTCTAGGAAAAACTAGAAGTAATCCCAGTTCCATAAAATCTTCATCGTCTGTCATATTATTTTTACTAACAGACATTACAACTCAAATAATGTACGAATATTAAATAATTCGAAAAATAACATAAACGTTGTTACTAACACCATAAAAAAAAAAAAATATAATATATATTAATCAGTCACTGATAATAAATTATAAGTTATCACGTCCAAAAACCACAATCAGCTAGCTTTTCTATTCATTCCACAGTGTCACTAATCGTATTGTCAAAATAACGGTTTAGCCACAGTTTAACAAAACGGACAATTGTAATACCGACAATAAGTTAACCTAGGAGTTAGTTGATAACCGAGGTTCAGCTGAACTCAGGTCATGATTTAAGATAATACTGGTTGGACGACGAGTAGAGATAACTGATTTTTTGGTGCCTAGCAAACTGAATCGCCATATCAGCAGCTATTTCAGAACTAATGGATGGCGCTCCTAGTGTGCATTTTGTGAAATATATAGTATCATAAATATTATTCCCGGGCTTTTGAAAAAAAATATGATATATAGTTTCATAATACATGCATTCTGTAATTAAAAGAAACTTGTTATTCTTTTCACTAGATTTGTACAATTTGTGTATTTATTTTTTTCTACGAATGCAATACATTTGAAATATATTCCATTCTGCAATCAGCTAAATGCTAGTACTTTTAGTATACCTAAAAATGCATTTAATGTATGGAAAAATGTGCTTAACATAAAATTAAAGTCAAATTCAAGAATTTGCGAAAAGCATTTTAAAAAAAAGGACATTATTAGAACATGGGTTTCAGGAAGCAAACCAGAAACAGTATACAGTAAACAGTATGTACATGTTATAGTTATTCCTAGTATACAAGTATATTACTTCAATAGGTACTCTAGAACATCATTTGTGTTTTAAATGTTGATAGTAAAACATTTTACTTAACAAAGGCCAAAGATGAGTTAAAATGTATAATTTTATCTGTTTTAAGATATGTTATAAAAGACCAAAACTTCGGGAAGGAGCTATTCCTACAATTAGTGCCACAACAGAGCTAAATATATTGACCAATTCAACATCAGAAATGGTACAGTATAAATTTTATTTACTCAGAAACCTTTTAATGAAAATGAAACTTGTTCATTAAATAGCCAGATGGTAATGAAAGTGAATCTATAGATTATAATATAGAAAACAGTGATGGATCAATGTTTGTCAATTCTAATTGTAACTCAATGATGTCTGATAGTTATACTATTCCAAGAAAAAGAAAGGTATATGTCACATAGTATAAGATATATTAGTAGATTACAGTCAACATTTTAATAATAATTATTTAATTTTTTTCTGCGTTTGCAAAAGGCTCTTGAATACATTCAAAGTGATCACAGTTATTCTAGTAACTCATCTAATAGTAGTATATATTTGTATGTTCACAGTTCGTTTTTCCACGGTAATTTTTACCGTATCACACAATACGGTAATTTCACACTCAGTGTCCACCTATTTACCCCTCACACGAAAATATTTACCGTGTACACATTTTTTTTTCCATGAAACCTTACTAAATTAATATTTCAAGAAAAAACACAAATTATTGAATACATTTTTTTTTTATTGTTATAAATTAATATTATATTTACACAAGTTTTCTTACTTCTCTAGTAAAAGGTACATATTCTACGATACGATCATGAATTAATAAACAATAAGCAGTTACACCTGTAAAAGATTCCGATGCCTCAATTTCCAATTGAACATCCACTGCTGAGGCTGTAGCCGAATCATTCTGTTTCGAAGTATCGATAACTATAATCGGAGCGTTTGATAGAAAAGTGGAAGGACTCAATATCGGGTTCCGTATATTTTTTTCATAGTAAGTACGATTCTTGAAAAGATGTATACATATCATATAATAAGGTAAAATTATTTTTTGCAAAATCCAAATTTAAAATATCATACGGATAAGCTATCGAGTTTAGAAATACTTTAACGTTTGTTAGATTACAATGATCAAATATACTACTATCTTTTGAAAACGAATTTTTACGTCCCTTCTGCAATCCAATTATGATAAATCGTGGTTTTTCTAATTTCGAAGCAGTTTTCAAGTTCCATACAACTTTTTTAGTAGTCCCGAGTTCAGGATATTCAAAAGTTTCAAAAGATCTAAAAGGTATAAACAAACTTTTTTCTTTTTCTACAAGTTTCAATAACTTTAACCTTTCTTCATCGTCAACAGTAATATGTGGAACCTTCCAGACTATTTTGTTTAAAATCACTTTACCTATAGTTGGAGCAGCTACACCAGTTTTTGAGTTTAACGCATTTATATCGGTATGGCTTCGAGTTAATATCAATTCCAATCTAGAATTAACTAATATTTTTTTAAAGTCTTCAAAAAAAACCTAACCAATATTCCAACGGGATGCAAGCACTAAATTCACCTTTTTCGTTTGCTGATTGTGATGTATTTTTAAAATTCCAGCCAGAATTCTCATAACAATGATAGTTGTCTGGTGTACAGGATAAGTAACCTTTTAACTAGCTAGTGATTCCAAGAACACGTGTACTATCTACTTCTATCCCATTGATTTCTAATCGTATTTGTTCAAAGAGGTAAGAGTAACCATTATTAGATAGTTTCACTTTGTCAGCTTCCGATATTATTCCTTCAAGGAAAATAAAGCTCTCATGTAGATATGGATAAACATCTGTTTGCTGGATTGATATACGTATCTCGTCATTATTATTAAACGATGTTGTATACGGCGTATATGAATGATATTCAATTTTCGTAATTCTAGAATCCGTTTCATACCGTGAACTTATATCTAAAATATCACTCTCAGGCATTCTGCTGTAGTTGATAACCCAAAGCTTGTAAAATTTTTTTATTTTTCCCTGTCAATTTTTTAACTTTATTTGATGTCGCTAGTACCACTTTAGTCTTATTACTAGTTGGACTGATCTGAAGTAATGGGCTTATATTGAATTGTAATCCCATCTCAAGACCCGTAACGTTTAATATGCAGAACGATTGTTAATGTCTCACCAAAATTATCAATCAGGTTTTTTGATCTTGTTAATTGATATAAGTTAATTGATCTTGATCAACTAGCTGAACGGTTATTGAGTCAATATTTGTTTTATTCAAATTGTAATAAATTAAGTTTCGTAGTGACTGGATTACTTTAGATCCTGTAATTTCACTAGGGAAAAACTCGTAAATTGAATGACTTTGAAGATTATTGCTGAATGATCCTTGAGCTATATTACACATTACTTTTATAGAATTAATTGTGTTTAAATTAGTAGCTTTTTCCGAACGAAGAATTTCATATTCTGGCTCATATTCTCGTTTTTCAAACCCCAATACAGGAGCTATACTGTTTAAAATCTCAAAGTGTAGAATTCCATTACATTTTATATATGATCTGAAATTATTAGGACCCATTGAAATGTCGAATGTTAACTCTTTATCGTATTTCCTATTATAGACATCTATTTGTTCCTTAACTCTATAATTAATATCTTTAATTTCATAACATCCCTCTTCCAGTTTAATATAACACATCATGTAATCATTATTGTTATTATTGTCTGTTACTTGTATAGCAAATTTATTATTATTTTTGTTGATATTCGGGAATGAATTAAATGTTTGTAAACATAACAAAGCTATTTATGAGTCCTCATAAAGGCTTATAGACGGAAAATAATTTGTATTCAATATAGTGGTATTCCCAGTTAAACATAAAGTGACTGACTCGTGCATTTCAAAATTTGAGATTCGAATTTAATAATGAGATCCGTGACGTTTGATATGAAGAAATACTGTTAATGTCTCGTCCAAGTTATCAATCGGATTATTGTTTTGATCAACTAGCTGAATAGTTATTGAATTAATATCTGTTTTGTTTAATCTATAATATATAAGGTTGAACGGAGATTTAATAACCTTTATTCCTGTTCTTCCACTTGAAAAAAATTGGTAAATTGAATGACTTTGAAGCTGGTTGCTGAATGATCCATGTGCTATATTACACACCACTTTTATAGAATTAGTCATGTTTAAATTAATAGCTTTTTCTGATCGAAGAGCATCATACATTGGTTCATAGGTCTGTTTTTCAAGCCCGAAAACAGATGCTATACTATTTGAAATATCCAACTTTAATTTACCATTACTTTGTATATACGTTCTAAAATCTACATGATCAATACATACACTAAATGATAGCTGTGTACTATATTCATTATTAAAGCGGAATAACTCTTTTGCAATTTTATTGTTAATATCTTCTATTTCATAACACCCTTCTTCCAGAATAAAAATAAACGTCTCAAAAATATATTTATTACTTGCTGAAGGAATTACTTCTATCTCCAGTCTGTTATTAGTTGAATTTATATTTGGAAATGAATTATATGTTTGTAAACATAACAAAGCTATTTCCGAATCATTGTAAACGTTTAGAGACGGAAAATAATTTGCAGATAATGTAGTTGTATTTCCAGTCAAACTTAATGTAGCAGATTCATACATTGTAAAAATTCAAGACATAAATGACCACAGTTAAATGTATTGAAATCTTGATAGTTAGAATAGTTATATACTATTTTAAACTCTTTAAAATAACGCTGTAATTCAATTGGCGGAGGTAAATCACCGAAGCTATCAAAATAAACAACTTTTTCCTGATTTTTATGAAACGCTACCCAATGACTTCCGTCTCCTGAAGATATGTCCAAGTTTAATATGCCGCATTCAATTGCATACGGTTTTTTAGGTAAGTTATCGCGTGAAAAGACTCCGCGAAAATGATTGATTTTCAACTTTCTAGCATATTTTATAAGATCTTGAGACGACAGCGGTCTGTCAGGTAGCGTTTTCATTAGTTTTTTTTCTTCATCCCATTTTTGGTTGAGTATAAACCACCACCTTTTTTTCTTTTTGAATTTTGATACGCATTATACACACCAGCACCTCCAGACATCAGACTACCAAGTGCTGACAGACCTGCAAATATAGGTATTAAGGGAACTACACCTCCTGACT